CTCTAAACGCCTGCCGGGAAGGACATGTAATAAATTGGTGTTTTTTTTTATTTTTTATGTTCTGTCTTCCTCCATCTCCCCCCTCACCACAAAGCACTTCATCATCTGACAGAATGTATTCTCCTGATCTGAAGCCACGCAGCAGCCACATTTGTGAGCATCACGAGCAGACCTCCAGTGACACGTTCCCCGCACCCTTGTGACGATGGAGAGTGGCAGCGGGCTTTGTTATATTCACAAAATGTAATTACAGCCCTGCATCCATGGCCTGCTTCCCTCCGAATGCCCCAGAGGAGCAGCTGTTTGGAGACTCCCACGGCTCTCTGATGATTCAGTGATGCCCCGCAGCCTTGTTGACATCCATCTCATGCGGCTTCAAAAACACAACTCCTCTATTCTTTACATGAACGTCTTCATTTGTGCTTTGTCAGCAGCAACGTCTTTTCAAGGGTAACCCTGGGATAACCTTGGATTTCATTATTGGACCTATTAAATTGAGATGTGATGATTACATGGCTGCTAATTCATCTCTTCCATGCTAAAAATCCTAAATATGACATTGCACAGGGATAATCATGAATTTATGTGGAAACTTTATCTAAGTGTAGCTGCCTGCCTTTAAAACTCATTCCATCGATTAGTCCCCGCAAAGACAAATTGGGCATAACATTTTCATCGACCCAGTGCAGTCATAAATATTCAATGCCCATATTCAACATGAAGTCGAGCTCACAATTTCTTTCTCTGTTTTTTGTCCCTGCGAGAACATAATAACTCACCAAACTACGCAGTAGCCGTCAACATTTGGAAGTCATAGCCAATTATGTATTCGTGCAGCGCCGCTTTCTGAATGCCTTCTGATTTTGTTTATCTTGCTCTGCAATTCACAAGGAGGCTTATTGATGCAGATCCCATTCAGATTATTCCGCTTTTATTTTGTTTCATATTACCTTGATATTTGGAAAACCACACAAAGTTTGAATTGCCTTTCTGATTTGAAATTAAGGATATGAATCATAGTCGGGACATAAATGGATCATACTTAGGTATTCATTCGTGACTTTCATATCTGTATATTTATAAGGGAGGCAAAGTCAAAAAAACAAAATACAAAATTAGATCATAATGAGAGCAAAAATATCCAATAGCTTGATTTCAAAAAGTGACCGAACAGGACGCAAGGTAAACTTGTCCTCAGGTTCCACTTGCCGTCATTTGAAAGTTTTCATCCGTGTATATGATAAAGAGCTATACAGCTGTTCTTCCTCTCCAGCTGCTTTAAGACTAATCAAGACGTTCAAGATGTCAGCAGCTCTATTTAGATCCTCACACCTTCCACTAAAGATTTGACAAGGTGGTAAGTAGCAATCCAATTTAGACCTCGTCTTACAATCTGCAAATAAGAGCCCTTACGCCGAGACACCATGTATTTATAGGATTCATTCAAACTAGCCTGTCACCAGCCGGAGGCACCCTGTCAAAGCCACAGGATGAGGCTGGTATGGTTCGCTTCAGGTCACTTGTAGCACATCGCGCTAACAACTTTGTCAGTTCAAGCTGTAAGGCAAGGCAAGTTTATTGCATTTATATAGCACATTTCAACAACAAGGCAATTTAAAGTGCCTCACACAAGACATTTATAAACGCTTTATAAACCAGCAGCAGTGTTTTAAAATCGATTCTCTGACAGACTGGGAGCCAGTGTAAAGACCTTCAAATGGAGCAGATCTTTCAGGTGGAAGATAATTAAAAGATAGACATTAGCACGGAATCAATCAAGACCTTATGGATTTGCACTCCATCATCACTGCTGACGTGCAGGAATTACTAAAAATCTCATAATGGGATTTAATCTGTGCCCCAAGGCGACATTGTTAATAATGCCAGCACCTGTCTTCTCAGCTTTTTTCTCCTGCGTCACTAACAGTGTTCTGTACCTAAGCTGCTTTATTGTAATCCTGACTCCAGGATGCTAGATTTGTAAACTTTGGTAGATGAATTCTACGAAAAATAGAAGAAAAACGAGACCCACATCAAGACCACAGCAACAAATACAAGTCCTAGGCATCCAATAATGGGTAATTTCTTGTTTTTTATTGCCAAAAATTGCAATCAAATACTTTCAATTTGTCTTAATTGCAAAAGACGGTTGCACAACCTACTTAGCAACTTTTAATAAGACCTTTTTGTCGGAAAATCTGAAGTTCCTTTAAAGCTTTAGTGCTTTTACTGATCAACAATATTGATCATTTAAATAACAGATATTGTGTCACTTTAAAACGCATGGTATGGGAAGGTATTGGAAATATACAAAAAAAGATTGATTGTCATCCCCTGCTCTCTCTTCCATACAGTGTCTCTTTTCAGCTGATCAAATAAAGGCAACAAAAAAAAAATATATATATTCAGATTATATGTTTTACTCCACAGTGATGTATCACTAAAAAGCAGGGGGACAGCTTTGATGGATCATTGGACCACAGTGTGCAGAACTCATCACTCGTGTTTCATGACCACAGACATTGACCAAGAGTTTTTAATACAGTACAGCAATCTGACCAATGTGTCTTCAGCTTGTGTTTGCACATGTAAATGATTTACAGACGGACGACTTCAGCCAGCACTGATACAAATTTATAAACAGGAACCCCACAAGCCAAAGGGGACACTTTGAAGATCCTGTAAGTTCACCTAAAATCACATCTTGACCCCTCAGGTAATTGTTTTTTTTAATACTTTAGCCCTGGGTAGACCGGCTGGTGTCTTAGAGTTTGTCTACATCAGCACTGCACCTGAGACCTGAGAAGGATTTTAAATCGCTCAAAAAAACGGTTAACACAGCAACGTGGTCCGACTGTCTTGCAGCCTGCTGGCTATAATTCTGCCAAATAATAGGAAAACTATTTTCCTCACTATGTTTGGAAATCAGATCCAATCTTGTTTCCACTGTTACAAGAAAAATGAGTCTGTATTGAAGAATAGTCACCCATTCTTAATAAATTAATACACGTGTGAGAGAAAGAAGCATTAATCAAGCAGTGCCCTAAGTTATCAACAAAGGAAAATTACAAATAGATATTAAAAATGTTTATCATTAATATTCTGTGAGTTTACCAGAAACCCTTTTTGTGATTTGTAGCTCTATTAGGGCTGCATGAGTAATGGGTCGCTCATGACTCATATCACATGGATTCAGGACTCAACTTCAACAAGTGTTGCTATTGCGATGGTTAGTTATTCGACTGCATCAGAGTACTTAAAAACTGCAGCTTTTGTGGTCGATACCTGATGGAGCCGATCCCAGCTTTCACTGGATGAGAGGCGGCGTACACCTTGGACCGGTCCCCTGTTAATTACAAGGCGGTTATATAACAAGCAGTCACACTCACATTCATCTATGAGTCATCAACTAACCTAACGAGCATGTCTTTGGGCTGAGGGAGGAAGGCATAGTACTTGAAGGGAAGACAGGGGAGAACATGGAAACTCCAGACAGAAAGACAAAGCCTCGGTTTCAAACCAGCTACCTTCTTACTGTGAGGTGACGGCGCTACCCACTGCACCGCCGTGTAGCCCGTTCCATGGGAGAAAAAAAAAAACCCTTAACACTGAGACAGGGTCATGGCTCAATGATGCACATGGGGACCCGTGTGGTTTGATCCAACAGAAGAGATACTGAAGCTACTGAAAGAGTTAACGCCGATTCTTGTAGAAAGGTGTCGGGTCCATAGACTGTAAATATTAATGGATGAAGCCTGAGTGACGTCAGCCATCTGTTCCTGCAGGGGGCTCTCCGGGGGCTCAGCGCCAGCCACCGCCATGTTGAAAATCCTGTCTCAGCCTAACTTTCAGTCAACCTAACGACAGGATGAGAACTGGAGCTGAGGCGGGTTTTAAGCCTCTTGAGAAACCGTTGCATCGCGCCCACCTGTCAATCATGTCAGCTACGCGCCTAACTATAGATAACACATATCAGTGATGACCATAACTAATCAGACCTATTTAATTTTTTGTACCAGGCTGTAAACATGTTTGTTTGTGCTGTAAAAACGTCTTTTTGTCGTGCGTATGTGACTTCCTGTGTTCCTGGAGCCAGCCTCAAGCTGGCACTCGACGAACAGCAGGATTTTGCACTTCAGCATCGGCTTCATTTTTCCAAGACTGGAGGTTGCCACTTGGTCAGGACACACAATGCCTCAACAGGTCAGGAGTGTTTTGGGGACAAAAGTTGGACCCACCCAGTATTTGGAAGTGGTCATAATGTTACAGCTGATCGGTGTATATCTGTTAGACATTTGTAACTTTATATGTCTTCTGATTATTGACCATTAAAGTCTGATGATTCGTTAGTTTTGAACTTTGACATTCAGTTTGTCTTAATACGAAGTGGAGTAGAACGGTGTCACTGTTGACTGACACCATGTTGATTTACTGCTAATTAGCATTAAGTATTCTGACTACTCAAAGCACTTTCACACCGCATGTCCCGCCTACACATTCACACACTGATGGCAGAGGATTTCTATTTAAAGTGACCATCAGAAGTAACTAACCCCACTCGCACACATTCACACGCTGCCGACGAAGCAGTGGGAGCAATTCAGGGTTAAGTGTCTTGCTCAAGGACACATCGGACATGTTGCTGGGGATCGAACCAAACCTTCCAGATGAGAGACGACCGACTAGCTGCCCCAATCACGCAAAAGGGCCAAAGGGACATAAAGGAGGTTTGTACAGAAAGTTCCACTTCACATTTTACCCTTTGAAGAATCAAGAGCCGAACTCTGAAAGGGAAGACATTATCCTGATAAATATTATTTATTAGTCTTACACCACATCATAAAGTCTGTGTCACTGGGACTGTGATGAATCAATCTGCACATTTTATATTACACTGCCCTCATCTGGTCATTGTAGACAGCTATATATTGATTCTTCACTTAAAGTGGACAGAAGAATGAAGTTCCTGAAGAGGAGGCAGAATAATAATGACAACATGCTGAAATGAAAATCACAGGTTGTTTTAATTTCTGAGTTGATTGTTCATTTGTACAGTGTGGCTTGAGAAAAAAAAAAAAAAAACATTTTAAAGATCTCTGTATAAAAAAAAAATAATAATAATATTTTGTACCATTACTAGTCGGAAAGAACATTCGAGAAATACTTTACAATTAAAATATGTCAGCATTACTGTGGATGTACAATATAAAGTCAATCAAATCTACATGAATGATCTATACAACTGCAGCCTTTATAAAGTACCATAAAAGAGGCAGGAAAATAAAAATATGTACATTTTCCTGCTTGGATAATTCAATTATAAACATAGAATTAAAGGCTCAAAACTCGTAGTTTTCTACACAGCCGATGAAGGAACAGAAGGTGCCTTATTAGAAGATGATCTAGTGATATGTGCTCTGTGAGAATCGATTAATAGATCTACAAAAATACAGTAAAATGCACAATTTTCATATTAAGTTAGAATCAGCGATCTGCGGTTTCCAAACAGAGGTCAAATTATGATGCTAACAGAACTATAAGTGGTTATTAAATAAGAAACACACACTGCTGCACGCGTGTCTTTCACATTCTGTCTGAACTTTAAATGAAGGGTGAGATCCTGTGAGGAGTAAGGCAGGTGCTGCATGGCACCTTAAGATGGACCTCTGTGGTACCTTTTATATATATATATATTAAAAGAAAAGTGTATAAACTCTAGTTTGATGGTACCACTGACAGTGTTAGAACTAACACTCTTCTCTGTACTGTACGTGCACAGTCTCATAGAAAATCTAAGGTGAAGGCAGGTAAAGGCGCAGTGAGTGTTTTCCCTTGCGGGACACAGTGTGATAACTCTCCATCATTCCAGCTCAAGCAAACTATTTCTCCCATCCCAGCAGAGGACGAGGAGGAGCAGGAGGATTTCTTAATCTTTTACTGTTGGCAGCATGTACCTCCATCATAGTCGCACCAACAACCAACCCCTCCCGACCTGCAGTTTGTCTGTGAACTCATTAGTGGTGTCTTCTTTTTTTATTTCACTTTGGTTCCAGTTATGAGCAACAGTGGCGTCGTCAGCTGATGCACGGTTAGTAGGCGTCAGTTTAAAAGGGACCAAATAAGTCACATGTTCAGTTCATACTTGGGAAGAGTGGGAATTGCACCCCGGTCTAAGTGCTTTACTGGTCAGCATGGGTGGCTAAGGCCGGTGGAACCTGGTGAAAGAGAGAGAAAAGTTCAGGAGGTTTTCCTTAGCCGTCTAGAGGTGAAAGAAAAGTCTCAGAAAACAGAGTTATTAAAGTATTGATGAGTTGCTGAATAAACATGCTCAACAACTGAGGTGAATTATTGATGTGTTTGTGTGTATATGGGCCTCACCGGGTATAGATCCTGCTTGCCTCGTGAACCTCCATCTCTGAACTCTTGAATTCATTGAGCTCCTTACGGATGGCGGCCTGAGAGGAGACATGAAACACATCAGTGGGGAACAGTTTACACAAAGGCACAGAAGAAGAAAGAGAGTGTGTGATCAAAGCTGCACATATGTACACCTTCATTTTAGACCGATGATGTCGAAGACCAGCTACAAATGTACATGTTTCTAACTTTAGCACAAATGAGTCCTATAAAAAAAATAAACACAGTACATCAATATTTTGCATTACACTTTCAACCATCAAAATAAAAGCTTTAATAGCCAGAGCTTAGCATAACCTACAAATATAATCCTGAAGTTAAGTAAGGTTTATGGATATGAAGAATCTGAATATAAAGACATCACAAAAACAACAATGTAGGAACTCAGTTTCTGTTGCAAATCCCTTTTAACCTAAAAAGTGAGCAATTGTCAAAAAGTGAAAAATATAGCTTGCATGTTTGTGCATTCAGATATGCTTCCAATCGATAGGTTGTGTTTGTTCATTCAGCCTTATTTTATGAAACATCAGATTTGTTTTGCTGTAACAATTCAAATACTTTCTTCAATTGTTACGGCTTTTTTTTTTTTTTTTTTTTTTGACTTGCATACACTATTAGCTGAGGTTATTCTAAATTTAAGGACATGAAGTATTTTGAAATACTCAGATATGAAGAAATGACATCACCACAACAAATACTGTGAGTGTAGGTAGTACTGCCTGATCATTTCTAATCAGAGCTCTAACAGTTAAACATGGTCTCTTCCACTATGTATATGTATATAATATATTATATATATACACACATATAAATATAATTTCTGTTCTGTTCTATTTTCTGAGCTTCACTGGACCAGGTAATTCACTTGCGTCTGTATTGCATTCTTGGCATTCCTCCTCGATACTGAATCTGCTTGGAATGCAAATCCTGTCATGGTTGACCAAAGTGGAAGACATTGCTGTCAAAAACGCAAACAGATTAGGCTCGCTCTCACTAAGACGCTCTGCGCCTCAACAGCCCTGCTGACACAACAGAGCTGTAGGGTGCGCATGTGTGTGTGAGGCTGAGCATGTGCAGAGTCTCACCTTGTCAGCAGGAGTCAGCTTGGTCCAGGGTTTGTCCGCTCGCCGGTCGTAGTCGTGGGCGTGGGTGCTCTCTACGTACTCGTGGAAGCGCAGGATCTTCCTCTCCTGAAGTTCAGCCACAGTGGGTCTCTGGGAAAGCTGAAGCCAAATCAAATAAAAGCATGTTAATACTGTAGCAGTGAGTTAAGAGGAGCGTCACATAATTATAAAAATAGTAAGTGTAATACGGCTCCTTGGTTGCAGCCTGACCTTTCTTGTGAGCCTCCGTTTGATCTCACATCTCTCTAATCGCCGATCTGCTTCGTTCTTGGCTGCGGGAAGAAAAAACATTCCATAAGAGAGAGAAACACTGCGGCCAGTCAAGGTGGATTTCACCCGAGCTGCCGTCGGCATGCTGCAGTTACATGAATCTCTAATGACTGGCTCGCTCCTGACAATGAGCTGCATTGTTTAACCGTGGGCACGAAGCGTCGCCTTGGCAGAGTCATTCCAGGACAGACAAGACGCCGTTTGGTGGAATGAGTCCTGGATCAAAACGTGTTGACAGATTCTGAATAATACTTTATGTATGGGATCCATAACATCCATACTGCCGATTTACACTGTACCCAGTCTGCTGGTGGACACGATACCAGAACTTAAACTTAGGCATCCGATACATAAAATACATCAATATCGGACCGTATACCGATACAAGACCAGATTGGTCCCGTCTCTCAACCTGTGAAACTGCACAAAAATGACTCCCCCCACACTGCGACGGACTACATCTGTATGTGTGGGTGTGTGTTTGTATGCAGTAAACATACACAGTTCCACTGGAGGATTACAAATGGAGTGAACAGGTACAGAGAAGGAGAAAAAAAAAAAGAGAAGGCCCAACAAATTACATTGAATATTAAATTAAGGAATACAGGAGTGATTACAATGTTTATTTGTTATACATGAAGCTAGATTGAGACTTTCGGGGGGCAGGAACATTAAGTATTTATTTAAATAGAGCCAGCATCCAGAGCTAGGCTTTACGCATGTGTTGCTCGTCGTCTACAGCTTTACAACTATTTCACATTATTAGAAAATTCAAAAAAGGATTGACCATGTCACATATTGGCAATTTTAAAAATGTCACAGGTCACCTAACTAGGTAATCAAGTTGTATGCAGCACCTTCCTTTGCATTTAATATTTACAGCGACAGCACAACTCATTTTAAAACATAGGAACAAACATCCAAAGTTAATGAGGAAACAGGCTGAAGTAGAGGGAAAGCCTCAGATTATGTGATGAAAAAATCAATAATTCAGTGCTTTTGAGTCTGGAGCGATAATGCTATTATGACAAGAAGTTGCAATTTGGCATTTTAAATAAGTGTTTAATAGAAAGGGAAGTGATGGGCGCTCACAAAGCTAGAGCAGAGGTTTGGACAGAATGTCTTTGTCAGCTGTAGAGGTGTTTAAATACTGACCTACGATGCAAACTACATTTTGGTATCAGTTAAGTAAGCCGGTCAATGCACTGATCGGATAACACAAACATGTAGTTTTCCTGGTTAATGATGATGCGAGTACAATAAATAACAACCCACTGAATCTAGCAGCCAGCAAATGTCATCCATCAGTGTTTTACTATCAATAATTATTATTTCTTTGGGAATCAGTGGTGTATAGCCTTGGTATTGGAATCTGACTAGTAAGAAAAAAAAAAAAGGATTGACACATCTGTAGTCAGCTGGACAGTCACATTTGACCAAGTTCTAAACTATGTTTGATTCTAACATTTGGGCTTTCTGTTACTTCTGATGACTAAATGATCCAGCAGCAACTGCCACACCTGTCAGACTTTTCTGTGATAGGTCTCCTGACTTCACACTGACAAACAGTCCGAGTAGTAGTAGCTCAGCGTGCTTTTATATGAGACACTAAAGGGCACCCTGTGAGTATGTACCAGACAACAAGGCCCCGACAGAGAAACAGTTTAAGAGGACTTGGTAATGATAGCCGGCACAAAGATCATCAAGGAAAAGGCTTGGCTCCATGGTGCCTGCTCAACGCCCCCCTGAGTGATTCACTAACGACATAATAAGTGAACCAGTGCATAGTGGATTCAGTCTTTGACCTCATTCAATTCATGTTATCATTACAATATTACCTGACCTCACTCTATTTAAAGATTTTTGGCTTTTTGTGTCTTTACTGGAGAGACAGGACAGTGGATAGAGTCAGAAATCAGAGGGAGAGAGAGAGTGGGGAATGACATGCGGGAAAGGAGCCACAGGTTGGATTTGAACCTGGGCCGCCCGCTTGTAGGACTATAGCCTCCATACATGGGGCGTGCCCACTAACCACTGCGCCACCAGCGCCGATGACATTTTTTTTTTTTTTTTTTTTTAATCATGTCAGGTCACACACATTGATGGAGCCTTCTGCACCCGCGGTAACGAAGGCGCATGTGTCAGCTTTTTATACTGGTATATCGGTCGCACCGGTGTATAAGACGCAGCCAACTTTTAAGATGAAAAAATAGGTATTAAAAGTGCGTCTCATACATCAGATTTCACGGCATGTCTCAATTATGACACCTTCTTTTTCATTATTGACAGTTCATGTGCATTGGTTTGGGATACTATCAGTACTTCAAAGAAAAAAAAGTCTTTAATAAGTCATATCAGAAATAGTTAATAAATTCTGATGTGTCTTTAGCCTCAATCAATATGCTGTAGGCAAGAGGTGAAAAAATGACCACCAATTAGCAAGCTGATGAATGTTGAATGCAGACTATTGATTTCAGTAAAGATGAGAAAACTGGAGTTTTGACGTTGTAGTGCAGAATGAACAAAACTGAACAAGGAGATGAAGGATGGAGGGAGAGGTAGAGTGACAGAGAGATGGAGTGTGAAAGAGTCTTACCTAGAAGGATGTTCCTCTGCTCCAGCTCCTCCGCTGACGGTCTCTGACTGAGCCGCCTGATGAAAAATAACACAGGTGACTTCCCATTTTTAAAGGCTGATATGGATCATTGTAACAGGACTGTAATTTGTCTCGAGACGCCTCCAGCTCAGTGATAAACTACAGGTGTGCGTGTGTTTTACTGTGCAGTGGATGTACAGCAGCTCGGACAACACGCCTCACACTATAAATAATGTAAGTCATCTGTCAAACTGTGATGGATAGACGTGTACGTTAAACCATTTACCGATTCAGCGTGGTGCCGATCTTGTTCCTCAGCGCCAACCACTGCTCCTTGTTGTGCCAGCTCGTGCCGTCGTGGTTCTCCTGGGTGTCTCTCTCCTCCCTCTCCTGTCTCTCCAGCTTCAGGGCCAACGTGTCCTTCCTCTTGACTCGGCTCGCCAGCCCACCTGATGCAGATATGAAAATACTATTTTACATTTGGAGAATTTGAAAGATCGCTGATTGCTTTGCATACATCTCCTATAATGTTGAAAATGAATTTTCACTGTAGTGCTGGTTGATGTGCTCATCAGGACCCATTGCCACCATAACGATTTATCTTTGACATTTCCTCATTCCACACACATTTTTAAAATGGTATTTTAATGGGCATTTGGATACTTTAACATCTAAGTCCTATTTTGATGTATTTATCTACAATACCTGAAAAACATGAACATTAGAGTTTCCTGTTGTTTGCTTTCAATGTTGGTGTAGAGGATAGGAAACACACTCTAACTTTCAAGATTATTTTCTGTGTATACCCTGAAAAATATGAAAATACACTACATACTACTGCAGGTGTTTGAACAGAGCATCTGTTAACTCATTGAACATCATCATTTATGTTCCTGTTTGGAAGTCAGGCAAAGTGACAGGACCCTGATTGATTTCCTGCGCTGCTTGAGGCAGATGATACTGAAAATTAATCAATGATGGCTTCTACGGGGGTTTAATGGGAAATGCAGGTGATCTATTGCAAATGTAGTTTTCATAATTCAGCTGTATCCAAGAGTGTGGCAAACAAAATATGCATTATAAATTCAAAGTTATTGCCTAATGATTAACATTACTCGTGTCCATGAATGAAGTAAAGACTTAAAAGTGTCCTAGCATCATTTTTTTTTTTAGATATATTATGCATATATTAATTAGGTAAAGATCTATTGATACAGCTAGCTGCAGTTCATCCACTTTGGGCTTAATGTAGCAGGAAAGTGAAGACCAACTTACCCGTTGGAGCGTCCTCATCATCATCATCTTCGTCTGTATCTCTGTACAGGATGGGGCCGTCGGAGTCCGACTCTTCCTCGCTGTCCCCTGGACCTCCACCCTCGTGGATTACACTCACCCTGGAGTCTACGACTAACCCCTTCCTGCAGCGGGGCTCCAGCTCTGCCTGACGAGACGGCCTCTGAGGATGTAGCTTCCTCATCTCCTCCTCCATGTCGAAGTCATCGTCTTCTGGCCTGAAATCAAGTACAGCTCTGTTATTTCCAAATGTGGGAATCAACTCTAAATACTTGTTTTTGTAACCATAATCTCAGGTATCTAATCCAGTATGCAGACAAGTATGAATAGGTGCTGTCGCAGAAATTTTGCAACCCACTTGCCAGGAGCAAAACAAGGCCAAATATTTGTTGCAAAGATTAACTCGGCACAGTTTTACATAATTCTCATTTGTCTGACTGCAGTGTTGCTTTCTAGAATCCTGTGGAAAAGCTTCAGGTCAACAGCTTCAGAAACATGAAGGCCAAAGATACGTTTTTGTTGCCAAAATAGAGAGACATTTTATAGTATATAAAGGTAATGCAACTTCAAACAGTCATGAAACTGCTTTATGATTTTCTGTTCACCAGCATGTTGTTCTCTGCTCTTTTGTTGCTATGGTAAATATGTTGAACTGCTTGTAGCATTAATTAAAAGGCTTAAGTTATCATAGTGTTGTTCTTTTTTGCATCATGTCCTGCCTCCTAACACTCCCTTCTTCCTGTCTGGCAGGGAAAGTCTCTTTCTGTGAGGTGCATGTGTGAACAAGACGCCCAGGAAGATTTCAGGGGCAATCTGCATGAAGATTTCTAGACATTTTCAGAAGTGTGAATGTGTGAAAAAAGCTCCTGCTGCTTTCTTGCTCACACCCTCCCTCCCTCCCTCCCTGCAGCGCTGTGCCCCAATTAGTCATATCTGAAATACAACCTTAAAACTTTAGCAGCATAAAACTAAGGCACTCTTATATATATATATATATATATATATATGAATGTGTGCATGGAATTCATTCCACAGTAAAAAAAAAAAAAAAAGAAGGTAAATAAATATGCAAAAATTTACAGGTAAGGAGAAACTATTTTGCAATACCTTAATGTGTTATAAAGTTTATGAAACATAAAAGAGAACTTGTGCTTGGATGAAAAACCACAAATAATAGTTATGATCATCCTGGATTCATTGACTACATAGATTCATAATCAATCCATTATTATTGATTGAGAAATGCTCCAATATTAATCTAAAACCAAAATTTAAGAGTGGTTGAAAACTTTTTTTTTCTATTCATTTGACAATCAATGTTTTGACTTGAAGGATACATTCAACAAGGGAGAAAAAATGACCTCTAGAAAAACAGCTCTCCTTTGTTCTCTACTCCCAATGCACTGATGCTCTGCTATGTGAGAGTATAATGAACGGTATGTGGGACACTTACAGCCTGAGAGGTTCGATGGTGATGGGGAGAGAGAGGCGCGAGGAACCCCCGCCTCAGTGAGGAACTCGGGAGGAGATTCAAACAATAGTGAGTGAGCCCTCTTGGATCCTTCGGGGTTGGGCTGAGCTTGACCAGGGCTGGCTAACGCTCTCTGGATGAGGATGTGTAGGGGGATGGATGGAGGCTGGCTCGGAGGCTGGCTCGGAGGCTCGGTGGTGGTGCTGGGTGGATCCTCTTGAACAGTGGGCACAGGACCAGAAGAAGAGGAGGAGGAGTTGGGCGGCTGCAGTGACTGAACTCTTGGAGGAGACGGAGGTATGTGGGATGGTGGGGAAGGCAGAGACTCAATGAAGGCCTGAAGAGCTGCATTGTTGGTCTTGTCTTCGCTGTTCTCCCCTATCTGGACAGTAGGGGGCGTCTGGAAAGGTACAGAGGCTGGATCAGTGGTGGGAGACTCTGATGCTTGGCTTGGAGGAGAAGGGTCCACAGAATGGCGCTTGGTTACGGGGGTCATCCTCTTGGGTGGTGTTGGTGGAGAGCGCTTTTCTGGCGCTGGCACTATGATGACACCACTGCCAGCCTGGGAGAGTTCTGCTGTTAAATAAAAAAATAAAACAGTTAAATTAGTAATCAGTGATTATTTTATAGAAACTCTCCAAACCTTTGATTTTTGTTATCACTTTTTTTTTTTTTTTTTTAAACAGCTATGCCAGCAAGTGTATTAATATGCACAAAGAACAACATTTGTTATTGATTTGAGTATATTAGTTTATTTCTGAGGAAAAAAAGTAGAGTATTTGTAGAAATGTGTAATGATGCAATGTTTTTAAAAGCATTTTTAGACCTGTAGTTCCAGGCTGGGTCTAAATTTAGCAGCCTTGAGTAACTCTAAAGAGCATGGGCAGAAATGACATGAAGCATTCAAACAGCATCTGTTGATGACCTGATTGTTTTACATTGTGTCTCTTGGATTTGTTTGCGTTTCGTTTGTGTGGCTGTATTGTTAAACTGCGTCACAAAAACCTATTCAATGAGAAGATTTTTTTTTTTTTTTCAATTCTGTAGAGTGTGTATGAGGGTGGGATAGGTTGGACCATGTGTTTGCTTAGGTGTTTTGGATTATTTAGAATTGGGAAAATAAAATATAAAAAAAAGAAAGGCAGCATCTGTGGTATATTCTAAACTATTTCTCATGGATTTTAGCATTTTGTGGCATTAAGTTTAAGTATACGCAGCTGCAAGTAAATGGAAATTTGGCTAAAAAAATGTGGAAGCAATTGTACAACTTTGAAGGAACATGGTCTTTCTGAGAAGAACAAATCAGAATAAACATGTGTGTAAATGCTATGAAGTTTCACCGCTATGGTAAAATGCTGACACCAGATTATATTCTCTTTTTTGTTTTTTTACCTTTGGATGTACCTAAATAGGCAGAGGTGTAAAGAAAAAAAAAATTCTCAGAATTGCTCATCCTTCATGGGATCAAAGCGAGATTTCTCATTTGATGATAACAATCAATTTCAGCTTGAGAGTCAAATTTATGACACCACAAACAGAAAATCCAAAAATGTATTAACTGCAATCAGAGAACATTAAAAAGCACATTATGTAGCAAAGCAAGTTAGTGTAATTAAAAAAAAAAACAAGCCATCAGATCAATAAAAGCTTTAGAGGAGGAGAAAAAAAAACATGGTCCTGTTACTGTTGGTTGCTGGGTCAGTAGGGGATGACACACAAATATTAACACACACATGTATCAACTATCTGTAAGGGGCATTCTCTGAGATCAACAAACACAATTCTGCACATTCGATGTGGCCAGTGTGCATGCAGTCTTTTCTTTGCACAGTCAAGTTAGTTGAGCTGAGAACAGCTCCTACTGTCTGGCTGAAGTACACATGCAATGCACTATTGGTGTTAAAATGGAAGTGAGCTATTCCATTAGCAACGACGGTGGTGAATCATTACGTCCAGTCTGCAGGCTTAATTAAGATGCACTGAGATCTGGCTCCTTGTAGGGTACCTGAACAGGTCTGGCAGGCCCTGTGCCGCATGTACACAGGTAAAGAGAGGTAGAGGCCGAGCTCGCTCTCGCGTCTCCAGCTGGTCCAGTAACAAGGCTGCCTGACCCTAGAGCCCCTGTTCAATGAGGAGGCTGGCAGAAATGAGTGGAGATGTCAGGGATTGGGCTGCGCTTACATTCCAAGTTAGGAGAGACATTTCTGTAGATTTTTCAAGGCGGGGGATAAAGTCAGTCCTGGTTTGACGCGGTCTTGAAGCAGAGTTACACCCATATTCAAACCTTTATTTCTTCTCAAAAAGGACACGGACGTTTCCCTCATTTTCAATGCCGTCGAGATTACAAGCACAGTAAAACAAGCAAAAAGAACAAAACAAACACTCAAGAGTTTAAGACCATCTGTGCAGATATAAGAGAAGTTCTGAACATAAGACAAGAAACACTTTCTCACCCTGGTAACATAAAGTAACACCGCAGTGGGGTGTGCCCCATTGACAAAATGTTTCATTTGAAGAGTTTTGCTCAGCCATTATACAGGAAGTAGAACAGGAAGTTATCTTGAAATGATTAAAAGTTTACTTGGCCAATGACCCCAAAAGTGACTGTGGCCAATAAATTAAAAAACAGGTAGATAGCTAGCAGGTGTCCAGTACAAAACAAAGTTTTATTGTCAAATAGGGAAGGGAGTAAATAATGTACCATGTTTAAAAGAACTTCAATCAATTCCAGTGATTCTTCAATAATTTTAAAAACATATATAGGCTGTGTCCGAAACCACATACTTTTATTTATTCTTAAAGTTGTGTTGAATCGTCATTGCCGTCATTGTATTATTTATAAAACCATTTTGGCAACCAAAAATGTCATCTGGCCACCAAGTTTAACGGCTTTGTGGCCAAAGTGACCAGAGCCTAAAAATAAAAGAGTCCCACACTGCTATACATCAGTTCATATCAGTTATTGCAGGTTGTTCTTTTTTGTTTTTATGCTGGCTGACAAGAAACACGATACAGAAGTAACAAATAGCCAAAGTAGGTTCACAGTAATTAAGAATTGGGTCTCAATGATTTTCTCCACCAGGAGGCACTGACAGGTTGATTTTTATACTACGAGAGGTCAAATACAGACAGTCAGTAATAAATCTGAGGGATTCATATCTAAATTATTTCTTAAAAAGTCCATGTTTAAAAAAAAAAATAAATAACTTGGGCTGATTTCCCATCACTAGTTTTTTTTTATATAATTTTCTGGATCAGCCTCAAAAAACTGTCTCTGTCTTTTTGGTAATCATGAAATTAAATCCTTTTGTTGTGAGAGTAACAAACAAAACATATTACAAACAAACTTTTTGTACAACACAGAACCAGAAAAAGGATTGCATGCATGAAGCCTGTGTGTGTGTGTGTGTGTGTGTGTGTGTGTGTGTGTGTGTGTGTAGTTACAGTCAAACCAACACTCTCCAATCATGCCAAAGTCCATTACCGAGTAATCTCAAACAGCCAATGAGAAAGGCTGCTCTGAACAGGCGCATACCATTAGTCTGTAAATGTGACAGTGAGAAATGAAATCCACTAACATATGTATGGAAAGCTCGCCTGACAAATGGTGGTGGAATGTGTCCCTGCCACAGATACTGTTACAAACAGAACAGAACTGGGATTGGCTATAAACAAGAGCAGCTGTAGCAAGCTGGTATAAAGGATATGAAATACTAAAAGCCCGTCAGTTTCTATCTCACCTCCAGAGAAGTGCTGGCGTTGCATGAATGCAGCAAAGACAAGCCGGTGCGTGTTCTCTCCTCAGAGAGTGATGGCTGCACAACAGCAACATACTGGAAAACACCCACACAGCTACGAGCTGCAGCATATCTCTTACACTCAGTTTATACTTAGATAACATTAACTACGTGAAGTTTGAATATTTGTTCTTGATCATTATTAAACGTTTTGTTTCCCTCATGAACTAAAAATGATTAAGCCTGTCCATAAAAACAAGTGCAAATCTCCATCTTAGTGATGGGTGTGGGCTAAAAACTTGCACACCAGAGTTATCATGTAAATAGCAACTTCAACTGACTTTTCACAACAGTTCTTTTGTTTTGTGAATGAAAATTAAGAGACTTTCAGCTACAAGACTACACATGTATTTGGTTTGAAAAAGAGACCCCCCTCATCACCCCCCTCTCCTACTCGCTCAAGGTGAATTCTCCAGATTATATACTGCTGCGTTCTCACGTCAGATCACTCGGACTTGCTGTTGAAAAAAAACATTAGGGCTCTGGCAGGAGAAACTCCAGCCAATATCAGGAGTTTTTCAGGAGTATTCTGCAATTGTGAAAGCCCTATAAATAATTGCTTTTGCCACTGATAGGCCCATATTGTTATTCTTAGCGTATGCCCATTTTAAAGATAAGATCCCTGTAGCTAGAGACCTTTTTGACAGGGAGGATAATGATGATCTTTTTAATGAGAAACAGCCGTTACGTCACACATGTTACTAAGATGAGAACTCCATTTACAAAAATAGTACATCTACTTTGCAGAATGTGGAACTTCATTTGTTTGTTTTGTTGTGTGACTTTTAGGTTTCAGACACAAAGCTTAGATCCAGCACAAAAAGACTACGTGGTTGAGGCAGCTATAGACCAACAACTCGTGTGTTGTGCAAGGTAAGATTATTGTTTTTAAATCGATGGCATGTAGTGGCTTTAAAAAGAGCTACTTAGCTCTGTTTATTGTTCACAAAAAAAAAAAAAAAAGGGTCATAGACTGGTCTGAGGCCTTTTTGGAAAGGCAACTTAAAGTCATAATCTTGGTTTCAGTGGCCAAAATAAGCACTTAAAAGTCAATGTGCTTTGAACCAGCTGTAATTCCCCCTGAGAGATTACATTGCAGAAAATACAGAAAACCTTTGTCTGGCTCTGCTATTATCAATCATACCATGGCAACAGTTAATAAAAAATTACTAAACACCTGCCCTGGGGGACGGTATGTTGAAACTAACTTTGTGTGTGTGTTGCAACCTGTATTTCATCCAACAAGTCGATAAAGCCACGACCAATACCTTTCTTACTTGTGAGAATGACTACAGCACCTTAGAGGCAACTTTTTAAAACCCGGTATTTAACAGGAAAGTTTATACCACTGTGTCTGTAAAGTTTCCATGAGCCTATTAAAATCTTATAAAGCTTATTTTGGAGGTTGTTTGTGTCTTTTGTCTTTCTTTGTAATCTGAGCCATAGACCAAAGCAGCTGTGTATAAAGAAGCCTATAAAACTGCAGAAGCAGACGCCGACAAACTCACCAAGCAGTGCAGGGTTGCTGTTGCGGTTGGAGGGTTTGGGTGGAGGGACGGGAGGCTGCTTAGCGTGAGGAGGAACAGGGGGCGGTGTGTCAGAGTCAGCTGAGGAGGGAGCAGCGTGGGGGGGTCGAGGTGGCTCGTCAACTATAAGGGAGACTGTCCTTGGCGGCTTTGCCACAGCTACAGCGGCAGAGGAGGAAGCAGAGGAGGTGGAGGAGGATGAGGAAGAAGAGGATGGGGTCGGACTCCTGCCGGACTCAGTGGAGGAAGTGGTGAGAAGCTTAGGGGGAAGCAGGGCCTGTCTGGGTGGGGGAGGTTCCTGCTTGGAGTCTTGTGATGGATGAGGGTCAGGGGTGAAGCGGACACCGGCAGACTCTACAGAGAGGGTCCATACGTAAACACAAACACAAAGACAAATTAAAAGAAGGGGTCACAATAACTCTTATGTTGCTCTGCTTTAAAGAAATGACATAAGAGAAACACAAACAGGGGAACACAAACACAAAAAACACTCAAAGGAAAGCTGTCAGAGCTCACCCAGAGGGAGACTCTGATCAAGCTTCTAAAGCTGTAAGAGGATGAAGGGTATAATGAATAAGTTTGAAGTTTACACACAGCAGACATGAAGACAGATCAAAGCAGCACAGAGGGGTCTGATGTGTTTCTCCTTAACCCAGAGCTACATATTTACTCTCGTCTGTTAAGGCATTCTGACTGAGATATTAGCATCAGGAGGACCCGGTCAGATTTACAGTTCACTCAACATTTATCTAAAATGTCTTTACAGTACTATCAGGAGACTTTAGTGAGTACATACAGTATGTCTGTATTACAGCATCAAAACGGCTTAAACATTGTTTGTAGCGCCCCAGAGACAGAACATATGTGTGTGTCAGCGAACGTCTCAACTGGAGAAAACAAGTACAAGAACAAACAAGACATTAATGATTCATCCACCTACATCAGAGAGTACAACAAAAAAGAATACAACAAAAGAACAACAAAAGGCATTCACATGCCAACTTCGACGCTCAGGCTAGTTGTTTAATTTGGTTTGAGCACATCAAAAAGTATATGATGCGTTAGAGTGAACTTAATAGAAAACTAGCCAAAGATGGCTGGATGACTCTCAATTTAATTACACACATCTCACCGATTTGTTGTCATTTTTTTTTTTAGTCAAGTAAAATCGTCCTCTCTCTAAGGCTTCCTCCGTCGTTGCTTATAAGATTGCAAACCAAAAAAAAAAAAAAGTGTCTTGTCCCTGTAAAGAAAACAATTGCTAATGCAATCTTTTTTGACCAGAACTATTTATGTTGACATTATTTCACTGACTGTGAGAGGCAACGGGACTGTAAAGAGAACGTGTGGTTTAAATATTGCTTTGGGTAAATCACAAATTTCAATTTTCATAAAATGACATAGATCACAGAGCCTTTCCACGTCTTGCTAAAATATATTTACACTGTAAACAAATCTCTAAACATCACTAGAAACATGAAATATAACAGTCAAACTTCTTGCAGTCATTAAAGGCTTTATATAAGATTTGTCACACACTGTTTCTTGAGTGTTATTTACTTGTTGAATGTCACAAACTGGCAAAATAGAGAAACTCAATTGTTATGTTAGCTACTCAAACTCCACATGAGAAACATTCTTACCTGAGCGCTCTCTGAACTCTGCGGTTGGTATGTATCTGGGCAGGGTAGTCCTCTTGTCAGACTCTGAGGCTGGACGCACCTTCTTGCTGTCTTCGGATGAGCTTTTCTGTAGAGGAGGCCGCAGGTCAATCTCAGAAACTGGCCTGGCAAGAGGCTGAGAGTCCGCCACAGACCGTAGAGGCTCAGGCTTTTCTCTCCTGTCCTTCTCGTCCCTCTTTTCCCGCTCGTCTCGTCGCTCTCTTTCATCTCTCTTGGTCCACTCCTCCCGTTTGTCCCTGTCCTCTCTCCTCTCTTTTTCTTCTCGCCTGTCTCGATCATCCCTCCTATCCCCATCATCTCTGTCTCCTCGTACATCTTTTCTCTCCCTGTCTTCCCTTTCTCGCTCTTCTCTCCTTTCCCTCTCAAGCCTTCGATCCCTGTCATCCCCCCTGTCTCTCCTTTCCCTGTCATCCCCCCTGTCTCTCCTTTCCCTGTCATCTCGATCTCTGCGCTCCCTCTCGGCTCGTTCTCTAACCTCCCGTTCGTCCCGGTCTCTACGCTCCCTCTCGCCCCTATCCTTCCTATCCCTGTCATCACCATCCCTCCTTTCTCTGTTTTCTTTCTCTGTTTTGCCATCTCTCCTCTCTCTGTCATCTTTCCATTCACGCCTTTCTCTGAAGTCTCTGTCTTCCCTTCGATCAACTCCACCATCCCTTTCCCTGTCCTCTCGCAAGTCTCTTCTTTCCACGTCTTCCCTGTTCTTCCTTCGACTGTCCTCCCTGTCATCTCTGGTGTCCCGCCTCTCTTCCCTGCGGTATCGATCCTCTTGTGGAGGTCCTCTTGGTAAGGACCCAGCTCTTTTATCGACATCTGACGGCAGACGGCTTCTCCTGTCCGGGTCCACAGAAAGCCGTGCGTGAGAGTCCACATCCAATGGTGCTCGGTTACTTCGGGAGGCATCAGATGGTGCTCTGCTTCGACGTTCATCTACTAGGGGCAGCTTGAGGGGATTCCCCTTGATGTCAGATTCCCCTCGAGACACTCGTGTTCCTCCTTCCAACAATCTGTCCACGTCCATTGGCACAGGGTGTCCATTTCTCACTGGTGGAACTTTGGAGTGGTTTACATCATTGCTCTCTGTTCGAAAAAGACACAAGCATGGCACACAGTTAATGTCAAAAATGGTGCCAATTCATGAATAGAATATTTATTTAACAAATGAAACTAAGGGTCAGCCTACCGTTTTCTGGGATATCCTTTAGAACCCCTCTAGAAATCAGCTCTTGGCGACTCTTTCTAACAGAAATCTTTCTTTCTAAGGCTGAAGAAAGGAAATAAATATCAATAAATAAAGCACAAGTTAATGAACACAACTAGTACAAAATACTAAGCCCAGCATACCTATTGATGCTTCAGCAAACTTTTCACTTTGCTTCTTCTTCCTCCATTTCCAGGGCTTGAAGATCCGTCCCATCTTGGAAAATTTGCCTTTGCTTTTCGGAGGAGGGGATCCTCTACCAGAGTCTCCTTCCTCACTCCGTGCTGTGTTGTGTTGCAGGTCGACCTCATCATCTGCATGAACATGACAAAGTGAAGAATACAGATGAATTCAATTAGATGGTTTGTAAATTTGCATTTCGATCGATGACGTAGAAGTTAAAACTTGACTAACAGGTGGTAATATCAACAACAAACAACAAAAACGTAATATTCATCCCAAACACAACAATAACAAAAACATTGCGTGCGGTTGTGGAAAATCTCTAAGAAAACTGTCTTTATCAAGAGCGTGGTCCTTGACCTTGAGATCACGGCTGTCGCAATTGGATTTTGTAATGCTTTACCAAAAACCCTGCCACTGCACTCTAACAGATCCAGTTAGCACTTTGAGCGTAAGAAACGGCCAAACTGTTACAATTTAACACGGTTTTTGAAAAAAAACACCTACAGTATATTCCCTCTCATACTTTTAGTCTGCACTTCTATTTCATCAGTTCCTTGTACTAATGTAGACATTTCTAATAAGTCCTTGCTATGTTATGTTGACAAACCCAGATATTTATTATGCTTATCAAAGAATTACTGGCAAGCCTCTATTTCAAATTGAGCTAAATTGAATTAGATGATCAATGTACTAATTACATATAACTGCTGAGGCCTAACACTGAAGTGCATACATATTCATTTCAGTCTGGGGCATTGATGGCCAAGTGGTTAGGTCGGGCCCTATGTGGGGAGGCCGTGCTGGCAGGCAGGGTTGTGTTGGACCTGCATATCAGTGATCCAGCACTTCAGTCTGTTATAAGTCATTGTAACAGGTTGATATACAGGCCTTCATCAATAAATAACATTTAGATAAAATAAGACCCTCTTTTATGGCAACAGTCCAGCCCCATGTGGCTGTGCATTTCTGAGTAAACCACACAGGGCAGGGCTTGAACTCTACACTATTGCCCCAATCATCTGTCAAAATAAAAAAGGACTAAACCTCATAACAAGGTTGGTCCAAATTCCATTCCTGCTCAGCTGTCTGAGCTGTTACCATAGAGCCAGACAGTGAAATATGGGCTCTGCTGTTGTGCTATTATTTACATTGTGGTGTGAATGAATGTGATTTTTTACCACAGCTGTGATGCTGATTTGATGGTGCAACACCCTCTGCATTTGTCAGGGTTCACAATCAATATCAAATGTTTAGGTAATATATTTTACACGGAGTAATGCAACTTGGAGATGACAGAAACCTTGACTCAAAGTTGGACTTGTACTACTGAAAATCCTCTAACGGCTACAACTGGGTGTGAAACCGTCGGTGTAATTCTTAGGTGATGAATCGTGCAGCAGAAGTTGCACAACAGAGAGCACATAGCAGAGGTCTGTGGTGTAAGTGCAGGAAGAGAGGAAGAGGGGTTGATCACTATTCCACCAGTTCATGTACGGCAACACAAGAGAGCTCATTCTCGCATGTGTGACATTGAGCAGGTGGTATCACAGAGGCTCAATAACTGTTATAATGGAAAAGGGTGTGTTTTAACAGAGGTGGTTTGTCCGTCAATTGTACCTTACTCAATTTTAATGACAGTCATTGATTTTTTGACTACATTGTACAATTTCTGAAGGACAAAAGAAAGAAATTCAGCTCCCACACGTTGTTCTTTAAAATGTATCCGCACATTTTCTCCTCTCCTTCTTCAAACTACTGCTCTTTACCAATGCTGGCCCAGCACCAAATGACTTTCAAGCAGTTTCACCGTGGCAGACAGTTTTCAAGAACTATAATGGAGTCAAGACGCTATTCAGCAATTTCATACATTTTGCATAAGGTGGTGTGTGTGGACTATCATTAGCCATTTTCCTTCCTGTCTTAACATGATTTTTTTATCCATTTAAATGTCCTCAAAGAGCTGAATGGAAAATTATCTCATCAAAAACCCAGCTGTAGGGCGCAGTGGTTTGTGTGCGTGCCCCATATATAGAGGCTTTGCTCCTCCAAGCGGGCATCCCAGGTTTAAAACCCACCTGTGGCTCCTTTCCTGCATGTCATTCCCTACTCTCTCTCTCTCCCTGATTTCCTACTCTATCCACTGTCCTGTTTCTCCATTAAAAAGGCCCCAAAATACATCTTAAAAAAACCCTGCTGTCTCTCTTTAACTTTAAAAACATATTGTAAAATAAGAGAAATTGTGAAAGACTTTGGTCTTTTAAAAGTTAAATTCTAATGTGTATGGTAGTCATTGCTAAATTTTTGTTCAAAGAAACACACTGGATTTACTTCACTGACTGCACTTGTGATGCTGTTGTAGAGCAAGGCAAAGCAGTTATTAAACTCCGAGTAACTACATACTTAACCACTTCTTTTTTAAAACAAACATTATCATTACAATCTTAAATATCAGTCATGTACAACTGACACCATCTCATTACAGTATCAAACCAGTCATCATAAAACAAACATTTCTTACATTACTACACTGATTGTGCTAAGTGTAGGTAGTGGTTAAAAAGGTTCTTAAACAAGTAAATAGGTTTTGAAAAACCAAAATCACAGAGGAGGCAAATTGGGCTTTGATACCGTGTCCATCATTTTTACAATCTTTGCTCATTGTCGTCATCCATTGGTTTCTGAAGGGGAGTTTTGAAGCCCATATGGCCATGAATGGAAATGCTGTCTCAAACTAACTTTTGGTCAAGATATTAACACACAAAAAAGTGGTGTGTTGTAGCTGTTAGCCTCCTAGCAAACAGCTACAATACGCCTGACAGTCAGATCAGCAACACACCTAATTATGCAGAACTCTGATCATTAACATAATCCAAACAGCTGAGTTCTTTTGAACCAGGCCGTAAACACATTTGTTCTTCAGTCAAAATTGGCATTTTAACATGTGTGTTAATAGGACTTCAAGACTGGAAACTCAAGGAACTTTTTGCACTCCCTCCCACACCAGCTTCTTTTTTCAACACCAGAGGTTGCCACTTGAGCAAGACATGAAAAACGATGCCAAACAAGGTGAAAAGATTGGATCCCTGATTTCCCTCATGGAATGCCATAACAGAATGATTTCAGCAGAGCAATAACTGACAAGAGGAGTCGCTAACCCATCTTACTGAAGACTGACTGATGTGCTGCAGGATTTTCATCCAGTTAACGATAACAGAATAAAAAATTGATTGTCACGTTTTACAGTCACTATAAAACCTAGTCTAGAGGATGGGTTTTTCAAGGCCGGAGATAAATTGAGCCTGTGCCAGGAATCTGAAAGTAAAACTTTTAATGTAGAATCTATAAAATCACCTTCTAGAATTTGATCTATCACTAATATAAGAGCTGACATTGCGGATCTTTACAGAGGGTTCTGTCAGCGAGATTTTTTCAGCCGCAGGCATCTGATTTCCACACCGGAGATCAATGTATTGTACATACAGTGAGCAACATTAATCACACCACAGGCTGAGGACACAATGACAGAAGTTTCCCAAATGTCAGAAAGAAAATAGAGTTCAACCTAACTATTCATCCTATCAGATCATTGTACCTTCTTGTACCATTCCTGTTCGTATCATACAAAACTCATCCTTCAAACATCATTATAATTGTTGTGATTTTCAACTCAACCACATAACTGGGTTATCTGTCCTATATGTTTTTACACCTCATAATACCTGTGGCTAAACAAAAGTATCACAGTTGACACCTGGCTAGCTTGGCAGAGTTTCCTCTCTGAATTTTCAACTCATATCTCACATCTACATTTGTGGCAGATTTTCACAATGTGATGCTTATTAAAAAGCAACAAATCATAAAATAATTAGCAGGGTTGCAAGCCTGGTTTATACTTTTGAATTGAATCTATAATATTGGTGCAACATTTTACAACATGTCATGGCTACATTAACCACAACAGATGTTGTTGGTCCACTGGAAGCCCTGTGACCAAATTATGAAGAACCCTGTTCTTTTCGCTAGTTTTTAAGCTATCTGCTATAGCTGGTTGGTTTAAAACTAAAATTCAAATGGTGATGGTCAATCTCAGTAATTGTAGATTTATTTTGTGTGCAAACTTTTACTATCATCAGCTACAATGTAAAACACTCAGTTGGGGTAGTCATCTTTTTGAGTACACCGTGAAATTGTAAAGGCTTAACACTGTGGCACTGACACCAAACCTGTCACCATTTTTTGGGTTTAAGCAAAGAAAGTGTAAAAACAGACAAATCAGCTCCCAAATATAACTGCTCAAATTGACTTAGTGCACTTCTATAGGTTATGCTGTAGGCTTTATCCAAATTCAGCACAGTCGTATACTGGAGATGAGTTTTACATTCAGACTGCAATTATATTTCAAAAAGCCTATGACATTACAGCTTGATCAACACTGTTTTGAGGCCAACAAATATCAATAAACGGGAGTCTGAAAGAGCTGTGACACAACAGCAAAATGTATTGTTTTGTAATAGTGACATCAAGTGTGAACTGTGACTGTAAAACCTATAATCATCCTCAATGGACAAACTATGTCTTGGCAACACTGTTTCTAAGCTTTTTCTGTACTATTTCTATACTTACTCGATCCTGACATTTTCAATGTTTTATGCCAACTTTGCCACTGCAGCAATTTGGTAATCACTGGAGATTGCAACACAAGAGTCATATTAAATAGTTCATTAGTAACAATTTAAAGAATAAATGTGAAAAGAGAACACTTTGAGACTATAAAGAGCTACTCTGTTTCATGTCTCTCATGGCAGGATAGAAAGTAGTTTAGTCTTCAGCCTTGACCTCTTTTTAATTGGTCCTTTGTGTCGTTGCACTTCGTTTCATTTATCTAAAAAGAACACTAAGTTGTGCATCACCTTCATTTGTCATGATGTCAAAAAGCCCCGTTTATTTTCAAATTCCTTACTTGTGTGTATCCTGTACAGTTTGAATGATTGTGATTACCTTTATTCTTCTTAAGATGACGTTTATTTGTTTGACATTCACATGTATCAAAGAGGAACTCATTTTTTTTTAAACCAGGCCTTTTTGTGAGACTCAAAGTTACAAAATGTTTTGGAATAGTCCCTGCATGTGCTCAGCTTGCATCTTAAAAAAACAGTCTTTATCCCTGCAACATTATCTTTCTTAACGCGTTTGTCCAATGTCATCTTGTCACTGTCAACTACAGATTTGATTCTAATTGTATGAAAGGATTCCTCCAGATATATAACAGAAACAGCTGATATATCACTCTCTTCAAAGCCCCATGACTCCCCAGACAAAGTTATTTTACCTTAAAGAACACAGGAGTTGATGGTCTACAGCTGCCTTCACGGGTTAGTTTGTTTTATATTGTCGAGTGACTTGGTGATTAAAAGGTTCAGCTAGCCTCAATTGCATAAACAAGCTATCCTATCTTAATAAAGAATCAATTATAAATTATTATGCATTATATCCCATGAAGGCAGCAGTAGACAATATATTTTGGCGGGTTTGTAAATGTTATTGTGTAGGATCCCATAGCTGAGCCTTTAAATCATCAACAAAAAAGGACTTCTTGTAGCCTTGTAGCTGCACTTTTAGCAGACTTACTTTGATCGTGCACATTTGCCCTCACGGCTGCTGGCTGAAGTGAGCTCCTGGACTGATTCCTAAACTTTTCTCCTCTCAGCCATTTAGACCCCAAAGATGTTTAAGAAGGGCCAAGGTTTTAAAGTTTTATAAGTTTTAGATATTCAGACAGATTTATCAAACAGTGTTACAGGTATATTGAAGGATATGCCTGCAGCGTAGTACACAATTTGCTGGTGAACGTATATTTTAGTTCTGGTTGATTTGCATTCAGCCTATGCCATGTATTACTGTTGCATCCATAAAATGTTTTTTTGTGCGCTGGCTGCATGAAATAAGGCAGGCCGTTGAATGCACGTGTGAATTCTCATGCTTAAATGCAGGCTACAGAGGTCAGTGCACTCACAGCTATTCCTGACACATAACACAGACTCCAGTGGGTGTTAAAATGGGATGGGTTGGGTGGTAGTAAACTGGGAGAACACAGGCGTGGTTTAGCTTTGACTGGATCAAACTTTGATGTGGTGTCATAAGAAGATGAGACGGCTGCTTTCACAGAAGCGAAATAAAGGCTCTGACCGCTAACAGCTGTCAGACACAAGCTGAAAGACCCAGTCCTCAGGTATGCTTTTATAAACCCAGTCGACTGGAGAGCTTATCTAAACAAAACCTGAGACCCCAGTAACAACACAGGCTTCTGTAAATGTTCAGCCAGTCAAACTCAAAACAGGAAATCTTCACTCTCAGTCAGCCACTAATGCAAAACCCTGCAGTCATTTGGTCAATCTGTCCATGTGACTCATGCCAATCAAATGACACCCTGTGTTGACACAGGCTTTCACAGAGTGGCACTCCAGAGGCAAAAATACATTTAGAAAGACGATATTCTCAAGTTAATAGATTTTGTAGACACGTGTGTCAAAAGGTTTCAGAAGAATAAAACTCCAAGGCAAACATACAAACATAGTTTCTTCAAATCGAAGGGACGTAATGGCAGAGCTATAAAACAATTTCCATACAGTATTTCATGAAATTTAAGAACACAGCAGTGATACTTTGGACATGTTTATATGGATGGATCTAACACAGTGCTCTGGTTTGTTCCATCATTCTCAGGATACACCTCAGACTGGTAGTATTTTCAAATATACAGTATATCAATCACATTTGATAATAGAGGTATCCCCCAGCCCAAAGACAGAATGCCATGAGCTACAGCAAAGTGTCAATACATGACTGAGACTGTGAAACTATGAATAAAAGAGGTAGAACAGACAGTGGTGGACCTGTATTACGTAGACTCTGAATTCCAAAAAGCTGCAGGCTGTGTTATTATGAGTAACCGTAGGTGTGCATAGAGACGGGACCCTCCTTTTGACAGCGAAAAAAACAGGTTTTGATCGTTGAAAGTGTTATTAGCTTAACCAAAGACGGAGACAGACCTGGCTACAAAACTCAAGGGGCTACACTTCGACTTGACAAAGAACATTTAAAACATTGAACTATGGGGATAGCTAGTGCCAAGCAGTGCCTTGAACCCCCAAAACTTGTTTTCACATCAGCTTCTACAGAGACTTGAAGCTCTGCATGCAGACAGAGAAAAGTTTGTGTATTTCACAATCATCACATTCCATCTGCATACATTCTTGTACACCAGTCTGAGCCTGCCGCCTTCAAGTTTCTCTCTGCCTTTATAACACCTGGTCATGTTTATCAGACCCACTTTCTGCTGAATTAAGAAACAAACGCAACCAAGCTACAAAACTTAAATGTTCACAGCAACCATTCGGTGCTGAGCCTCTGGACTCTGACTCACCCGTGTTGTTCAGGGCTAGTTGCTGTGGCACAGTCTCACTGCTAGCACTCTGTCCCATGCTACAGCTCCTGTCCCCACTGGCCTGCCGAGCCCTGCCACTCCTGAGGCCCACGGCAGGAAGGGAAAACCTAAAGCCACTTCCCTCCTCTCAAACCAGACATCAGAGCTCCTGTAACTTAAGACAGTCTGGACTGCTGACTTGTGTTGTTCAGTCTCTTCTCTCTCTGTAGTCTTGCCCTCCCCCTCTCCCTTCAGCCTGCTTGATATGGTCTCTTCCTCCCTACCTCCCTCCTTCTTTCACTTTAAAACAAAAACACACTCACTCCCTAATATCTTAGGTCCCACCCTTCTCGCAGCTCTGACTTCATATATGAGTTACGCCAATAAGGTAATCCTGCAGCCTTGGATGCCTTTCATTCCTGAGAGCAGATTTTTCAGGGGCAAAGTTCGCAGCAGGCAGGCTTTGAGGTTTGGCCCAGCCAGTCATCAATCCTTGAGGGGATGCAGTGGGGCCCCCTGCTAGCACCATTTCACACACTACCAAAACACTACTCCCTGAAGGACGAGGGGCGGGCAAGAGGCAGGGCTGTGCCGGGGTAAAGTAACTTGAGAAGTGGAAGGTGAGTCAAGCCAAGGTGGAGCTCAGAGCCAGAGAAGAGGAAGTGACACAGCGCAGGTGTCCTGTAACTCTCCAGGGTTTGTCCTTTTAAACTATTAAAAAGCTGTCACCTCATCACATTTTTATTAACGGCTCTGTTTTACAGCTAGACATAATCATTAACTATAGCTCCTTTAGGTTTGCTCACAAATATTTTGTAACAACTTAAATGACAATGGTTATTGAAATAAAATGATTTCTTTAATAGACATAAATCAATGTCATGTTAAACACTCGTCCTTCACTTTTACAAACCGTATCTCACTATTTTGTTATGAAAGTAAAAACGTCAAATGGAGGTGCCAACACATTACACTCCAGCAGTGACAAAGGTCCAAAATGTGTCTGGAGGTACCCTATCTGAGCTCTTTGTGATAAGGTTATAAGTAATCAGTGATATGGAGTAAGAGGAACACCTCAGTGCATGTTAGGGACAAAAGTAGAAAGTAGGAATAAGGATAGTAGGGATCGCACAGGCTTGTGTATATAGAAAGGGATACAAACCTACTCAACAGTTCAAAGGACATTTGTTTCTCCGCTAATGGGGAAGCCGGGACACATTTATAGCTTTCCATTAAATGTTATACATAACTGCATTGAAATGTAACAGAGTTGTTTTAATTTATACCATTTGAAAACAGACCTATTTTGGTGGAGGCCACACATTTTGCGATTAACAGGCTTTTACACTGTGCAGATTTTAGGGATTTGTAGCATTTGATGATACACCAAGACATAATCACAATGTGCAAAATTACTATTTTAGGTTATGCATTCATTCTTGTAACCCAGCGATTTCAAGACATCCAACAAATCATAAGAAGCTGACATCATAATTCATTTTGTGTATAATATTGTTTATGTAGTTCATAGCCTCCCTTGTGCTCTCACAGTTATCCAATACATGGTGCAGCATCATGAGCCAAACTCTGACAAAGGAATGTGAGGAATGTAACGGCCACAGTGGGTATTGAGGTGCCAGGAAATAATCAGGACAACTATCCTGGAACACAGCCTATCAATATCCTCTATCTTACATTCATCATGGCACTGAAATCCTGCTCACTTGTTTCCACAGAGCAGCAGCAGATGGAGACAAACTCATTTTTTTTAAAAGATTTTTAACAAGAGAACATGAAACCCGGCTGAACAAAAGAGTTGATGACTCAGAAAAATACCAATCAAATGGCATCATCATGACTAACAAACACAAATAAATACTAAAAATAACTAATTTCAAGCCTACATGCTCGATGACTTGTAGGACATGTAATATTTATTTTTGTAGTTGCTTAGCATTGATTGTCTTTTTTTTTTTTTAAATCAGGAACAAAAAATAAGAGTTGAAAAGGAAGTCCAGTTTATTTTTACCACGTGTCCATGAGTCTGGCCAGGGATGAGTAGATCAAACTTCTACTGTATAATCTCATCCTGCCATGGCCTCATTGCTTATAAAGTGATCATGGAGCCATGCCCTGACCTGTATTGACGTTTGCTGAAAAACTAATCCTTTACTTTAATTACATTATCATTCATTTTATAACAACTACTTTGATGATCAAGACCTTTTCAGTCAAAAGAGTATCACTATATTTAAAAAAAAATGTAACAACATCCAACAACAAGATAGAAAGCCAGATTACTCACGGATATATTCAGATTGAACAGCCATCTCAGCTATTTTCAAAACGCTCTTTAACAGTTGAGACTATAGAAACAAGGATCCTGTACAGCGGCCTGATGAGTGTAAACTGTACACAGTGCTGTCAATGATCAGGTTCAGTGTTGAAATACACACGAGGCCATGAGAGAAAACCAGCTCTGCTGACAAAACAGGTGTGTCCTCTGGACGAGGACCAATCAAATCGCTGCCGTGTCACCAGTACAATGTGTCACGCAGACAACCTGTTAGTGGACTGATTCAAAGCCGTACTTTGTTTGTTGATGCAACACTCTCAATCGTCATGATACTATCGATGAGATAACATCAATCTCACTTCAGCAAAAATGTTTAAAAAAAAAAAATTAAATGTAAACTTATTATAAACATGATCTCATCCTAAAGAAGAGAGGGGTTTGGGGGCAGACATGTTTTCCAGCACAGTTGACAATAAAAGTCTGGCAAATCTTGGATAATTAAACTACAAACTATACATTTTAAATTCTTGTATTGATAAAATAAAGAAAGTTTTTCTTACCAGGATTTTCCATCACAGTGTAGAAACTCAGCAGCGGGCAGCTCCTGAAAAAAAAAAAAAAGGACAGATTGGATGATTAAGAAACATGTGAGACAGATTCTATTACACACAGCTTTTTATAGGATTTGTTTAATTGAATAAGTTCTCTGAAGTTGTAGAAATAAATTCTGGGCGAACCTGAGGAAGCTAGAGGCGAAACGTGTTGTTTGCTCACAGTAAATAGTTTGAGTTTGTTATTTTAGTTAATTTTTTTCTATATTTCTCACTCAAAACCAGCCTGCCTGAAGCCAGCTGATCGACATACTCGCACCAATTAAAATACTTGTATTTTTAACATTTTCAACATATTTTATATTCCTTACTTAAGCTTTTAGCATTCAAAATGTATAGATATCACAGAATCATTTTTACTGCTTTCACTACTGTTACTTCTTAATTATCACTCTAAAACAAATCCAGCAAAGTTCACAGCTAACACACACACACTCTTCAAACGACCACGGAGAACAGAATCATCCGGTGTTGCCACATCCTCCTCCCCCCCCCTAAAGATGACTGCACCCCTGCACAGGAAGCGAGAATCGGACCTACTTCTGAGGGAGAAGAAACCGAAACATCTGACTTAGGCTGAGACGAAGAACGCACATAATAAGGCTTGTGTGGCAAAGTCGATTTCTTTTTCTTCGATCTGGCGTTGCAATCAAATAGTTTCGCTCAGACAACTGCCGCACTACAGTATAAGGACCCACAAACTTGGCTTGAAATGGTGACCCAAGTATTGGCAGTAAAGCCAGTACTTGATCACCCTCACTAAACTGACGCTTCTCAGAATGCTGGTCATACAGATGCTTCATCTTAGCCTGAGATTTCACTAGTTTTTGTTTTGCTAATTGACCGGCCATGTAAAGTCTGTGTCGGAAACCATTGACATACTCAATTACTCAATCAAGTTCGAAGGAGGTTCCTGCATCATCCACTCATCTCGAAGCACAGTCGAAGGCCCACGTACCTTATGGCCAAAGACAAGATCATTATGACTGTACCCAGTGCTCTCCTGACACACTTCCCTTGCAGCCAAAAGCAACCATGGCAATCCTTCCTCCCAGTCCCTACTCATCTCTGTGCAGTATGAGCACAACAAAGACTTGAGAGTCTGGTGGAAACGCTCCAAAGCACCTTGGCTTTGTACGTGATAAAGCAGATGCTTGATTATGCTTGATGTTTAACTGCTTAAGGACTTGTGAAAACAAGTGTGATGAGAAATTTGACGCCTGGTCACTCTGGATGATTTTCCAGAGTATACCAAATATGGCAATAAACTGAGTCAATGCTTTAACGACTGATATGGCTGTGATAGTACGCAATGGATATGCGGCAGGATAGCGTGTAACCTGACACATCACAGTCCACAGATACTCAGAACCAGATTGTGATCTAGGCAAATTTCCAACACAATCTACAATCAAATGTTCAAATGAATTATCCACAACCGGAAATGGATAGAGAGGTGCAGGCTTAATACACTGGTTAGGTTTGACATGTATGACACGTCTTAATGTAAGCTGCCACATCACGCTTGAGGCGGGGCCAGAAAAAAAAAAATGCAAAATGTGACGGTACGTTTTACCAACTCCCAAATGCCCGGTCTGGTCATGAGAACACTTCAACACTTCATTTCGTAAACAACACACACACACACAAATTCCCCAAAACCGGGAGCAGCTGATATGAACTTTGCAGGACATCACTTTAGTGTCTCCGGTGAGTAAAAGACTTGAGAATGTCATTATTACTCAGTAAATCAGTGAGAGACTGTCAGGGCCCTGCAGTAGACTGACTGCTCTGTGCAGCTAATGAGGGGCCCGAGCGAAGCTGAACAAAAGCTCTGTTGTGTTAGCTAAGACAAAAAGACCGAATTAATTAGCTGACAAACTGAGTGAAAAAAAAAAAAACATCCTTAATTCTGCTGAAAAGAAAATGAAATTCAATTGGTTTAATTAACAATTGCATTTAAAGTTGCATAAAAACAACTTAAAGTACATGATAAAAATAATTACATGTTGAATAATTTTACATTAATGAGGGCAGAAAATATTTATCTGTATGACTCACAAAAACAGGGCTGCAGCGTTTCAACAAAATGAGAATGCATTCAACAAGACTGCAAGGATAAACAAAACAGATGTTTTCTTGTATTATCGATAGGATTTAATCTCTAACTTCCCACACAGCATGAGTGTTGAATAAGACCAAACAAACAAAGATTTCTCAGTGTTGAACATCAGAGACTATAAATACAGCAGATACGTATATAAACGTACAAAGGATCGATTCAACACAACAGTCCAATGAATAGCAAA